GCCCGGGGGCCTGGGGGCCTGGCTCCACCAATGTTTGGGGCTGGGTCTCTCTCCTGGCTCCGCCTGCTGCCCCCGTGCACCTCCCCCAAGTATCCCCCGGTCCCCACTTGCTGCCCCCGTGCACCTCCCCCGGGCCCAGAACGTCCCTGCCTCAAGTCGATACGTCCACTCTGCTGTCTCCCGGCATCAACTGCTGCCACAGGGTCCTAGCGCCCCCCAACTTCTAGTGCCAGGGCAGGCTGACCCTGCCCCTGCCCTTCCGCCTCGGACCCTTCCCTTTTCCTGCGGGACCCTCCACCAGCACAGGGGACTCTCCCCCCTCGTCCGCAGTCACCGGTCCTACCCCACACTGGGCAAGGGGCAGTCCCATCCCCCACCCCCAGGGAGGCTACAGTGAGGGGCAGCAGCAGGGGAGGAGGAGCACATGTGATGGCAGCCCCCCCCCCGGCACCCACCACAGGGGAGGCGAGGGGGCTTCCTGGACCTGAGAGGGGCCCTAGGAGCACATGCAGTGACAGTGGTGCGAGGCAAGTGTGCTGCGGGGGGGGGGGCACAGCTCGTGGCTACTGGCGGGGAGAGGGCTGGGGGGAGTCCTTCTTTCTGGCCCCAGTCCCGGGGCAACCCACCTACACCCCAAACTCCTCAGCCCCAGCCCCACCCCACCCCAGAACCCGCACCCCCAGCCAGAGCCCTCACCTCCCCACACCCCAACCTTCTGCCCTAGCCCTGAGCCCTTCCCACACCCCAAGCCCCTCATCTCCAGCCCCAGCCAGAGCCCTCATCCCCCCATACCCTAACCCTCTGCCCTAGCCCTGAGCCCCCTCCTGCATCGTGAAGCCCTCATCCCCAGCCCCACCCCACAGCCCTCAACCCTGCACCCAAACCCTCTGCCTGAGCCGCTCCCACACCCCAAACTCCTCATCACCAGACCCACCCCAGAGCCCTCACATTTTTACATTATTTTAAAAAATATATATCATCTTACAAGGCAGGGGGGGAGAGGGGCGGGACTTGGACCTGTTCTGGGCACCACCAAAAATTATACAAACCTGCCGCCCCTGCCCAGAACTGATCTGTGCAGATACAGGGCAATATCGAGTGCAAGTAGAGAGGGATTTTGCCTCTAAACACAGCACAGGTGATACCACTAATAGAAGCCTGTGTCCAGTTCTGGGCACCCACTTTTAAAAGGGCTTTGCAAAACTGGAAAGGATTCAGAAAAAAACTATGAGGCTAATGAAAGCTATGAAACCTGCCTTCTAGTAAGAACAAAAAAGATCTATTTATCTTATAAAGAGAAGGGTAAGAGGCAACTTGATTAATAGATGTTAAGGCCAGAAGTGACCATTATGACAATATAGTCTGACCTCCTGTATAGCACTCCAAGGGATGGAGAATCCCCCACACCCCTTGGTAAGTTGTTCCAATGTTAATTATTCTCACGGGCAATTCCAGTCTGAATTTATCTGGCTTCAGCTTCCAGCCCTTGGATCATGTTATACCTTCATCTGCCCAGCAGAGGAGCTGGCTCTGCCATAGGCAGCTGCTGGTAGAGGCTGGAGCTGCCCTGGGGCAGGAGGCTAGCCTGGAGTCCTACCCTCTCTAGCCACATGAACTAGCTGTGATTTTGCACCCCCAGCCCTGGGAATCCCTGGTGATCTTTAGCGATAAGCATCCCGCCCTAGCCTCAGAGTTGCCTTGGTTACATTTCCAAGGGTGTCTGCACAAGGAGCAGGGCTAGAAACTCAGTGTTTTTCAAGAGAGAAGCGGAGATTCTCCTTTCCATTTCCCCTAGGGTCAGCTGTCATTAATGTCTAGTGAGGCTGCAGCTGGGGAGCGTCATGTCATGGGGCTGAGACCATCTCTCTAGCTCCCTGCAGGCACCAGGCAGACAGGAGACACCCAGCCTGCACCAGCATTACATGAATGCCCTTTCCATGGTTCTCTGAGTGCACAAGGGGACTCAATCCCCTGCCCCTGACTATGCCGCAGAAGCACAGACCTCCCTTTCCATGCAATTAGCATCCATGCACCCCAGGACCAGGGATCCACTTCCCAGCTGGGAAGGCAAAGAAGAGCATAGAGATCTGGGCAACAAGTCGAGAAAGAAATTGTGAAAGCAGCTAGTTACCAAAGCAGCATTTCCTGCAAGGCCTGTGTCATGCTGCTCCCTGGAGATGGGGGGCAGTGAGACAGGGGGCTCCCAAGAGAAGACAGCCCTCAGCCCTAGTAGCAGCAACAGAAGGATTCACTTCCCAACTCCCCCCTTGCTCAGCATCCCAGTCTCTGGAGAGTGCAAACGGCCCAGAGAGAGGGCTCATGTAGAGAAGCAGGAGGGCTCTAAAGAGGGAAATGGGGTGAAAACAAGTAGAAGAAAAGGCAGAGAGGGTGGGGATAGGGTCCAGAGTGACCTAGACAAATTGGAGAATTGGGCCAAAAGAAATCTGATGAGGTTCAACAAAGACAAGTGCAGAGTCCTCCACTTAGGATGGAAGAATCCCATGCACCGCTACAGGCTGGGGACCGACTGGCTAAGCAGTAGTTCTGCAGAAAAGGACCTGGGGATTACAGTGGATGAGAAGCTGGATATGAGTCAGGAGTGTGCCCTCGTTGCCAAGAAGGCTAAGGGCATATTGGGCTGCATTAGTAGGAGCATTGCCAGCAGATCGAGGAAAGTGATTATTCCCTTCTATTCGGTACTGGTGAGGCCACATCTGGAGTACTGTGTACAGTTTTGGGCCCCCCACTACAGAAAGGATGTGGACAAATTGGAGAGAGTCCAGCGAACAGCAACAAAAATGATCAGGGGGCTGGGGCACATGACTTACGAGGAGAGGCTGAGGGAACTGGGCTTGTTTAGTCTGCAGAAGAGAAGAATGAGGGGGGATTTGATAGCAGCCTTCAACTACCTGAACGGGGGTTCCAAAGAGGATGAAGCTCGGTTGTTCTCAATGGTGACAGATGACAGAACAAGGAGCAATGGTTTCAAGTTGCAGTGAGGGAGGTCTAGGTTGGATATTAGGAAACACTATTTCACTAGGAGGGTGGTGAAGACCTGCAATGGGTTACCTAGGGAGGTGGTGGAATTTCCATCCTTAGAGGTTTTTAAGCCCTTGACAAAGCCCTGGCTGGGATGATTTAGTTGGTATTGGTCCTGCTTTGAGAAGTGGAGATTCTCCTTTCCATTTCCCCTAGGGCCAGCTGTCTTTAATGTCCAGTGAGGCTGCAGCTGGGGAATGTCATGTCATGGGGCTGTGACCATCTCTTTAGGTCCCTGCAGGTCCTGCTTTGAGCAGGGGGTTGGACTAGATGACCTCCTGAGGTCTCTTCCAACCCTAATCTTCTATGATTCTTCTATGATTCTATGATTCTATGATCACAAACACCACTGCAACTGTGGGTCTGCTCTGGTGAAGAGTATGGGTCAATGGCCCTGCCTGGGCTGGGCTGCACACAGCTTGTGCAGTGCGAGAGCTGTTTAATTACCCTGTAACATTACAGAAATAGCCCAATTTCTCTAAGCATCTCTGTGCCGATGTCACTGCAGCCTCGCCAGGGTTAGCTACATTGATTTCTAAACAGATCTAGTTAATGTGGTACAAAAGCTGTGTGTAGACAAACCCCTACTGAGTTGGTCTGCTCCCCATGCATCTGTCTTTAGTGACTCAAAGAAATGTTACCACTTCTTACATTTACTAGGCTGGAGCAAGAAGCGGGAGTAAGGAGTGACCAGCAGCTCCATTGCTTCTTGTGCATCATCAATGGAACCGTGTCCTAACCTCCCATCAGTGTCACCTGTGCAGACTTGTGCACAGCAGCTGGGTTGGCGAGATGTCACTGAACGGGCCTTGTGTCATGCGGAGAGTCTGTGTTACCTGATACGATGTGCAGAAAGAAAATAACTCAGCTTGACTCAGCGGTCCCAGGCCAGGTTTGCAAGGCTGGTGCAATGAAGTTTCCCTTTCAGACCACCATACAACAGTCTGAGAACCTGCTGGAGTTTGTGAGCAGCAAGAGCAGACAACTGGAGCTCTGCTAATAATGGAGCATTAGCCTCAGACCTGTGTGTGTACCCAGATTGACATTCACAAGGTGCTGCAGCTGACACGTAGGAGAAAACATCTTTTTACTTGTAACTTGAGCACATTTCACAGGGAATCAGTGACACAAGAAACACAGGACTCTGGGATGCCCTGCCTCCAGAATCACCGTGCAATGCAGGCCTGAGCATGGATGGCAAGATGTCCCGGGCAGTGCAGAATCCTCCAAAGAAAATGGTGGCACAGATCCTAGGATGATAACTGATGAGGCAACATCCTGCAATGCCTCCAGCCAGGGGATGAGTACAGTGGGCTGGTCTCTCCCCGTCTCTAAGCCCAGTGACTTCATGCATGTTGAGTATCCCTAACATGGTATAATGCCACAAAGAGTGAATTTCTCCTCCACATCACTCGAGTATGAGATCCCCCTCCAATGGCCAGTCCATGCACCCTGCCCTACAATATCTGTATGGGACTCTTTGGACACACTGCTGAAGTTTGACAGGTGTGGCGGGGGACAACCCTCGTCCAGCCTGCAAACTCGGGTGGTCCCTGTGATTGTTGTGGAGCTTCCCAAGCTGAATACATCAAACCAGTTATAATTAAGCTGGAGCTCGACTACATTTTACAGTTAAAAATAAACCGCTATGGGAGGATGGGGAAACCAGCCAGAGATGATACTTGTACATGTAGAGCTGGTAAAGCGCAGATAACACGGAGATGAGTGTGGTATAAACCCCAGAGAGATAGAAAGATTAGTGAGGGCTCCAGGCCAACTACCAGCTGAAGACACAACATGAGAAGCCAAAGGTATTAAATGCTAAGGCTGGGGCTGTTCAAAGGGGTGAGGTGCCCAACTTCCAATCAGCATCAGTGGATCTGGGTTTCTCCCTACATAGGCTCTGAGAATTCCACTGTAAAATCAGTGGGGAGGAGGCAGGAATAGCTCCTGGCACCCACCTGCACACTCTGGAGCCGCTGCTGTCCAGTTCCCCGACGCCAAGCACTGCAACGTGTCCAGCCCTTGCAGTTCAAACCCCTCCTGGCACTGGAACTTGCATGTGGAGTTGTAGCTAAATTCCCCCAGGGGATGACTGCAGTCAGGCCTGGGGTCAAGGTTTTTGCACCTCACAACTAAAAAGACATACACAGCATGAGCAGCTGGGAGGCAGGGGGAGGGGTTTCAAGCACACATGCCTGTTGCTCCCTCAACTTGCCAGGTCTCAAGTTCTCTGGAGCACAGCCTACCCCAGCCCCTCGGCTTGAGCTTCAGCAGGAGCTGCAACATCCATACTGCTATTTGTAAAGCTCGGGCTTGAGCCCCCTAGCCCAAGTCTGGCTAGCTGGGCTTGCACCCAGCTGCAGTGGAGACATGCCGTGACAGCCCTGCTGGGGCTGAGCTCTGCAAGGCAAGAAGAAGGGCACATGCTTTCTCTGGGTAACAGAGTGAGCTGAGTAGCCTGTCTGAGAAGTTGTGTTTGGCAGTCGGGCACAAGCGAGAGACTTTCCGGGCCTGGAAGCTGCTGCAGACTCAGCCCAGCAGGAGGCTCCACCCCCAGTTGAGGCCTGGGCACCCTGCTCAGCCCTAAGGGAGACAGCAACTGTTTTGCTGCTTGGGCAGCTCCAGGCTGACAGCAGGATAGGGGTGTAGCCTTACCCCTAAGGGAGGCAAATTGCCTGGGCTGGCCTGGGGCGGGCATGCTATAGCAGCAGTGCGGTCAGGCACTTGGGAGGCTACAACCCCACCCCACTCTGCCTCCTTGGCCAGGGAGCAATAGCAAAGGCCATTCCTCCGGCTGTGCTAGCGCCCCTCTTTGGTGAATCTCGGAGCAGCACTGATGGGTGCCCAGGCCATCATCCCAGAGGATGTCTCTGGGGAGACCCTCCAGAAAGTAAATTCAGTGACTGTAACAGGCCCTGCAGCAGGGCCCCCTCCCCTAATGTTCCTGTTCGACTGCCCTCACCGTGTTCACACTCAGGCCCGTAGAAACCAGGGTAGCAATCACAGCTGTAGTTCCCGATGGTCTCCACACACTCACCGCGCTGGCTGCAGGAGGAACGCTGGCAAGACGCTGCAGAGATACAGCTGGGTTAGGATCCACCCTAACAGTTCCTTAGAGACAAATCATAACCCACCCCACTGCCTGGATCCTGCACTCCATCCCTGCTGCTTTTCTTCATTGCGGGATTCTTTCAGAGCCTGTTAAAACCATGGGAAAAAAACCCTGCCTTCAAAGGCCTTGGCTCAGGCCCTGCAAGGGCACCCAGGGCACCCAAGCTTTGCCCAGCCAGGTGGTATTGGCACCTTGCCAGAAGTTTGGAGGCAATGGCTGCTTTGCACAGATTGTCACTCTGCTCTTGGACCCAGAGGCGCTGCCTGTGGACAGCGCTGACCTGGATGGGTAGGCTGCCCTCTGGATTGAGATGGAGGGTTGCATGCTAGGCCTGCAGGGGACACACACATGCATTGATCAGAGGCCAGCATGTGCCACGTTTGGTTATCAGGCTGTGCTTTGACCTCCCTGCCCCTCCTCCCCCACCCCCCCGCACTGATTGCACTCCAAAGAGGGTAGTAACTCTTTGTCAGGGAGACTCCACTGCATCTCCCAAGGGCTCAGAACAGGTGCTCCTGGGGCCAAGCGCCTGGCATGTCAATTTACAACGGGACTTTGTGATGAGAAGAATGTAGGGATCAAAGCAAGACTCATTCAGAGCACAGGTTCAGCTCCCGTCTGTGTGGCCCATTTGTGAGGGAGAACTTGGAAGGCAGGACTTTAACTCCCCAACCAAAGGAACCAGCGAGACACAGAGAACACCACAGCAGTGATAGCTGGTGTGTGCAACACCTGTGCCTGGGAGCAAACATGCAAAGCGGGTGCAGGCCTGTGCTGCCGGCCACGGGACAATATCACTAATGCCTAACACCAGCTAGCACTAATCAGGCCCTTGGTGGCTGTCTCCACAGAAGTCAAGGCTCAGTGGGCCATGGAGACCGACTGACCCCGCAGATCAGGGTTGAGGCACTCTAGCTGGGTGGGTGGGTTAAGTTCCTCTGCCCAGACCATACCTCTTCGTAACAGTGTGTCTGGCCCTTTAAGGGCTAGAGGCCTGTGGCCAGCCAACCCTAGTTACTAGGAAGGCACAGCTGAGCAGGAGTCAGCTGATGTCCCTGGACAAGTGGCAGGAAGTTTCAGAGAAGGGGGATGCTCAGGGAGAGACAAGCCAGGAGGCTTCTGCAGGAAACCCTTTACCAGCCGGCAGGATTTGTGCCTGGAAGGAAGCCCGAGCCAGAGGGCTGAAGAAGGCTGAGAGCCAGGGAGAACAGACTCCAGGAAGTAAGGAAAGACTCCAGTCAGGCAAGGCGAGAGTGGCTTGCGGAGCAACCTCAGACCATGACGGGGCATGGGAGGCAGCCAGCCCATTGACACTCTTCTATGGACAATTAGGGACTTAATTCTCCAGAACTCTCAATCCAGCAACTCTCCCCAGCCCTACATATGTTAGACAGACACACACATACATAGAGAATGACCGTGGTGGGGTGGTTACCTTGGTAACACAGCGCCCTCTTTTTCTTTTGGCAGTTCTCATCGTTCCATCTTCCAGCATCATGATCCCTCTTTATGTAAATCTCCACACAGTCTTGGTTCTTCCCTTTATTGTTGGGTTCCCTGTTAGCCCAGTTCTCAGCCTCCTTCGTCAGGGCCTTGTTGGTACCAACCCAGGTCCAGACATTGTTTATCTTTCGTATCCCAATCCAGTAGTATGTTCTATGGCGGGGTAAGACATTGTTGAGATAAACAATTTCCCCCTGGTTCTGGATTGCTACGAGGTCAGTGTAGAATGACCTGCAAAAGTTTCTGGCCAGCTCCCATGAGTAATCAGATTTGTTACCATAATGGTAGGTCCAGGCTCCCACTTCCATCTGAGTCCCGAGCACTGTTGGAAAGAATAAAAACAGGCAAACTTGTGTGACAGTCAGTGACAGAGCTATGGGTTGACTATCAATGGGTGACACCAGACTATATCTTATATCACACACAAAAGTACTGCATTAAAAGAACATTATTTAGGTTGCAAAGTCAAGCACTCAAACGTTAGGAAATGCCACAATTAAGGTTGCCCATGTAACTGAGTTCAGCCCCCTTGTGCGCATGCACGATGGTATAGTCTTTAGTGGCATGATAACATACTATTTTTCCATAGGTCCTCTGCCTCATTCAGTGCAGAGGATGGACGGGGCTCACTAAATGAGGAGCTATTCAATAGTTTGTTTTCTCCTCACTGGTCAATGTGTAACCGCCCCAGGCTTATTTACTGCACACTATACAAACCCTGCTCTGAAGACAGAATTATTCATTTCCCCAAAGGCTTTTCTATAGCGCTCATCATTACAGTATCTGAGTGCTTCACAAACATTAATGAGTTTATACTCACAACAGCTCTGGGAGATGAGAGGATGGTATTATCCCCATTTCAAAGATGGGAACAGAGGCATAGAGGCACTGGTTCTCAAAGGTATTTAGGCACCTAACTGCCATTGATTTTATTGCAAGTTAGGTGCCTAAATACCTTTGAGGAGCTGAACTAGAGAGATTAAGGTCGAAAATAATTTTGGGTGTCCCATTTGAGTAGAGCCCTGCGCGGATACATAATTATATCCACAGATGCGGATATCCATGGATATAAAGCAGATATCCGCAGACTTGCAGGGCTCTAGTGACAACGAGTGAGACAGGCTTACATGCTCCTGGTCAGGAGATACTGCTTGCACACACTAGTGTGACCAGAGAAAGCTGCCAGTGAGCCTAGTGCCCACCCCAGTGGGCAGGGCTGGAGGAGGTACAGCCATGCCGGAGGAGCTGCCTGGGCTGGGAGCTGGCTTCTGCGAACGGCAGCCCGACATGCTGCTTCTTTCGCCGCTGTGGTTTCTGGCCCAGTTGTTGGCCATGGCCCTGCTGATCTCACTCATTGTCACTTGAGTCCTGCAAATCTGTGGATATCCGCTTTATATCCACAGATATCCACATCCATGGATATAAATTGTATATCCACGCAGGGCTCTACATTTGAGACCCCTAGGACCTGATTTTCTGAAGTATTTAGCATTATAAAGCATTTTCTATGTTCAGAGCACTGTTCCCATTGACTTTAGTTGCAGCAGTGAGTGCTCAGCACTTCTGCAAATCAAATCATAGGGTCTCAATTTGAGCACCCAGAAAGTGAGGAACACACATTTAGTGGCCACCTGGGAAAAGTTTGGTTTAAGTGACTTGCTCTGGGGCAGAGGCAGAATCCAGTTCTCCGGGGCGGCAGTCAACATCCTTGATCCTTGAAACCATCCTTTCTCTTCTTGCAACCCTCTGCCTCATTCATCACACACACCTTCCAGCGCCTGCAACAGATGAGGTAGGGTTCCTACAGACAACAGCTTTTTTCACTGTACAACCTGGATTCATTCCCTAGCGTAGGTCCATCCTGTGCACTCAGCGAGGCAAGGGTTCTGGCATTTCCTATGGTATGAGTGCTTGACTTTGAAATGTTAAAAATGTTCTTTTAAAGTAGGTGTGTGTGTGTGTGTGTGTAATTTCCTACGTTTTTTAAAAAGCAAATTGTAAAAAACAGAAGATCCATCACGTGGCATCATAGTGACACCAATATGGATCATCAGCAGGGTTAAAATCCTGAGATCAGGTGCACAGACCTCTGCCACCTGAGCTAATGGAGGAACCAATAGCAGTAGCAGGTTGTCATAGTCCCTATGGGCCAGCACTAGAGGGATATGAAACACACATTTTGCCAGTGGATTTCACAGATACTTGCTGACAGCAGAGAACTCAGGAATTGTGGGTTCCATTCCAGGCTCTAGAGGAGAGTGTTCTCTAGTGGTCACAGACTCTTCTGCCTCTGTCTCCTAAGCATGGCCCTTCTGCCCTGGCCCCTCCAACCTGACCCTGTCCCAGGCCTGTCTTTTACCCATCCCTAGCTCCTCATCTCAGTCCCAGTCTCATTGTCTAGCAAGCCCTAGTCTCACCTCTCTGGACTCCCCGCCCTACCCCAGGCATCCCTCCACACCCAGTCCCACTCTCCGATCCTGGCCATTCTCAGTTTCCCCCCCCCCTCCAAGCTCCTTGTCCCCAGGCTCCTTGCCCAGCCAGTCCCAGTTCCCCCACTCCCCCCATCCTGGCTCTTCATCCAATCTATATCCCTATTGGCTCACAGGGCCACTCTCCCTCCCTGGGTTTGTCATCCAGTCTCAGCAGTCATCTCTGGCCTCCTTCTCCCAGTGTCCTTGCCCAGCCATTCCCCCTGAACACCAGCAACTTGGCAGAGTTGTCTCATAGAATCATAGATTCTCCCCTCCCCCTTCCCTCCTTCCTCCTACCCTACTAGTTCTCTGTCCCAGTCACCTTGCTTAAATAATCCCAAGATCCCCCAAGATCCTCATCCAACCTCACTCTCCCCCAGCCTACCTGCTCCCACTCCCCTCATTTCCCTCCCTAGATCCCAGTCCCAGTCTCCTTGCCCAGCCAGTCCCAGACTCTCCCCTCCCCAATTCCCAATCCCAGTTTTTTCTCTCCGATGCAAACCTCCAGTCCCAGTCTTCCCCCTGGACTCCTTTTCCCAATCTACACCCTCTGCCATCCCCACCCACTGCAGGTCTGGCTCTTGCCCCTCTGCCTTCAAATGAGGCAGCTTCCTGCTTCGTGCTGCCTGAGCTCAGAGGGCGGGCATTGAGAGCCCAGGAGAGACAGCCTCTCTTCTCTCAGTTCCAGTACCTGGCTCAGCCCAGAGCTGCAATTACAGGGAACATCCTGCACAGCCCCGAGCTGGAGCATGACCAATATTATAGATGGAATTTTCAGGGAATGTGGCTGCTAAAATCAAAGTCTCTACTGAGCAGTGCAAAGTGCAATTTTTCAAAGGCTTATAACTTGGCCAAATTTTGGGCAGATTTTCACAGGCATCTTCCTGATGCAAACACCTACTCCCTACCAAATTTCAAGTTCCTGCTCCAAAGTATGGGGGCACCAGAGCTTTTCAAAGAAAAGCTCACCAGATTTTTTGAACATCAACAAAACAACATATTTTTTCCGTAGCTTTATTCTTAGAAATGGCTGAACTGTTTTGATTGAAATTTTCCAAATAGTTCAGCTTGGGGCAGACAACCCATGTGGAAAAATGTCAATCCAAATGGTTAAAGCCTGGTAAAGTTATAAGCAACTGAAAACAGGATCTTATAATGGGAAGCATTGGCAACCTTAATGATAGGCAGTGCTACCAGCCTGCCTATAAGAGATCAGTCCAGTTCTAATGACCTATATGTGTTATTCTTGGATCTGACATCACAAATCTCATGCTGAGAGTCTCTACCTAACTAGCAGAGTTTAGTGAAATAAGAAATACAGGGATTGAAAACTGGTAAAAGGTGAACTGCAAAAATTAAAACAGCTTTAGGCTTTGATTTCTGGTCTGAATGTCTCCACTCAGCAGAGGCTAACAAGCTAAGAGATAGCTAACTAACCAACTCTTTTTCCCACCCCGTTCTATGAAATCCTTTGGTAGGTTGTAGTTTAATGAAAATATCCCAAAATGAGACACCACAAATATCAAATGTCTAATTGTGATCCATAAATGGATTCCATGCTGTTGTCACTGAAAGATGTATGCTGGGATACCTTCAGTGCACCAGGAAGAACCAAAAGGATTTCCCAGACGGGGAATTGTTTTTAAGGAGGTTCATTAAAACTTATTTTTTCTTCATATAAGTGCTCGAGGCCCTCTTTTCACAGGCACAGAAATATGGGATTAACTCAATTTTAATTTTAATTTTTCCTTTGTAGTTTTACATATGAGGCCAGCAACAAAGTCTGGATCCAGAGCCAGATTTGAGCATTCTCATAAGTTGCTGGTGTTTGGCACTTCTCTGCTTTAGCAGCTAATCTAAATATCCAAGACATTTTTGGAGAGCTTTGTAAAACTGAGTTTTGTGAAGACGCTGGCCCAGCTGGTAGTGCTTACAAATCAGGAAAAGATAAAAATGAACTACAAATCAAGGCTGAAACTAGCCACAGAGCTGAACTACTGAAACACAGTGTCTATTTATATTATTTCTCACCATTGCTTGATGCGATCCAGGGTTTTTAGCTACAAAACAACCACCATATCGCAGTGTCTCTATGGTTACAGAAATCTATCTGAAAATAGCCCTGAAGTCAGATCTTCTTCCAAACAGTGCAGCCTAGGGACCTGCCCTCAGCTCACTAGTGTTCATTTCAGGGAACATATCATACACTTTATTTGCAAAGCATGGATCAAAAGTCTTGCACCATAGATTTAATACAACTTCAGGATTTGCCCCTTAGAGCTAAAGCTCAACAAAAATGTTTTTCTGCATGAAATTCCAATATTTCAACATTTGTTTTCATCCCGAAAGGTTGAAAAAAAAATTTTTTCACAAAATGAAAGAGTTCAGAAAAATGTTGATTAGGAAAAGTCAAAATGTTTCACTTCAAGTCAGGTCTACATCCCTGGCTAGTCTGTATCTCCCATGACACAACTACAGACATGTGTCCCATCAGAGGGAAGACAACAGTGGATCTTGAGAGATATAGTCTGGCCAAGGAGCCTGGCCTTTTGGATAAAATGGGGACACGAAACACCCAAACTACAACTCCCATGAGACAGCGTGTCACCAAAGATAGATGCAGGTTAATAGCAAACTGACTTGGGTTGCATTGACTTGAAACAAAAGATTTGATTTAGATTTTCCCCAATGGAAAATCAAAAAAAATCAACAACATCAACATTTTCCTGTAGAAAATTTTGATTTTGCTGAATCTGCATTTTTCTTTAACAAAACATTTTAATGGAAACTTCCTAACCAGCTCCACTTTTAGCATTGCCTCATGCGGCGTAAAGATTTCCCAGAAACCACCAGCACTTTGGCATCCATTTAGATGAGCCAAAAAGAGCCAGACTTGTGGTTAAAGTTTTACAAGAATCCATGGGAGTGCTGACATGATGGATTGGTTTATTTGCACAAGAGCCAAATCCAGAGCCCTTTGGGAGTTCAGGAAGCTTGGCAAGCTGTACCTTCCCATTACTTTTCATGTGGTGCTTGAGGCCCTCTGCACATCTGCTAGTGATGGGCCTGAAAGTGGAAGTTCCAAAGCATCATGGCACTCAGCACTGTTCTTGTGGTATTTCTGGCCTGGTTGGAATAAGAAGGACTCAAAATCTCACAAGAGAACTCCTCCCTGGAGAATTAAAGCACAGTGTTGCTGACACAAGATGTCCTGAGGATTCGGTTTGGGATCTGGAATGTTGGGTGTTTATCTGATGAAAATCTTCACACCATTTGAGGTCTCTCCAACCCACCAAGCTCTGCTTGTCATTCCTGTTCTGCCTGGTGAACATCACACCCATGTTATGAGGGATGCGCCTCAAATGCTTTACAGTAAAGATGAGCCCAAACAACCCCCCAAAATCCAAACTTCTCCCCCTCCCTCTTCTCTATAATAGGGTGAACCAGAGCTCAAGACTCCCATTTCCATGGAGCACTGTGGCTCAGGACACCTGCCCCCCACCCCACATTCTGCAGCTGGTGCCCATCTCTATTTTGGACCTCACAAAGGGCTCAGATAAGCAACCAGCAATGTGACACTCTGATCCTCCTCTAAGGTCCCTTGAAATAATGCAGCGGGATTCCCCTGGGGCACAGCTTTCCCCAGCCCTGCTCACGATATGACAGCACTGGTGCTGATCTCAAGCCTGGCAGTGCAAGAATGAACAGTTATTTAAAAAGGGAACAGAACATTTTCAAATCAGCTGAATGGCCTGGGGTCAGGGTCAGCTTTGTGCAGAGGTAGTTCCCCAGGCCCTATGCTCATGCTGAGGTCAGAACAGAAATCAAAGACTCTTCAGTTCGAATGATGCCAAGCCAGTAAACAGAAGAGAAAAGCGATACCTAGCACAGACAGGCCTGCGCCAAGGAACTCGCCCAAGAACAATATTCTTTTCCTTGCTCTGTTTCTTGTGGTGTAGATACCACTATGGGACAGCTCCTCGCCTGGTGTAAACCAGCACAGCTCCACTGAAATTAATGCCACTGGCCCCAGATATGTACATAGCACATCCATGTTTCAACAGCACGTGCCACGTTTCACAGCTAATTCCTCATGGGAAATGCCACTAGGAGAGCTGTGGGCTGAGGTCTAGCCTCCAATTCACAGGTGCGACTCAGTCAATGGGGATTGCGTCTGTGTATCTGAGAGCAGAGCTGAGTGTGGGAGGGCTCTCCTCTCTCTGCAACAGGTAGGAGAGGATCCACACAGGAGAGGCGAGTAGCAACCTGTTGTTGGAGGAGATGTGATAGCCGGGCTTTCCAAGCACAGGCTGGCCAGGTATGGAGCAATCATCTTGTGCACCAGGGAGCTCCTACCTGAACTGGGATCTGGGTGCCAGACGGAGATGGCATGACTGGAGGGGCTACTTGGAAGGAGACAATTGTACACAGTCACAGTGTCAAGCAGGATTTCTGAGAGGTGCTATGAGGAATGTGGGGACTTTTTGTACAATTGTTATAAACCTTGGGGTCTGTCTCCACTTTGTAGTGTTACCCACTGGGCGGAAAGGGTTTTTCTCCTTGGAACCAGAGAGCTTAGCAAGAACTGGCTGGAATTGGAGACCCTGCATTGATAAGGGAAGAACCAAATACTGGGCCATTAATGCTTAACTTCCTCCAAACCTCTTCAGGGAATCAGAGTGAAAAGGCCGTAGGTGGAGACAAAGGGATGAGGTGGCAAGTAGCTGTCTGTTAAGGTTGCTGTGATGAGCAGATGGACTCACACAGACAGGGTCAGAGAGAGTAAAGAAGAACCCCGGAGAATCAGGGCATGGCAAAACCATTGCTCCTACTGATAGGGACTCTGAAGTTTGGCTGTCTCATGCTGACTAAAGACTTACTGATGCTGGATTCCAGGTAACTAATCAAAGCTACCTAGTTTTAAAAAGGCTGCCACATAATCTGCTGGGTGCATTGCTCCCTCAAAGGGGACAGGCTCTCTCAGGTGTCTGATCTCAGCTGGATTTGCTGCAGAGAGCCACAGTGAGAAATAGGGGTGCTGGAGTCTGAAGGCCCAGGCCTGCAGTAATAGAGTCATGTGGCCTGCCCTTCGAAGTCTGGCACACTAAAGGGGTTACTCCCAGGGCCTGGTTTAAATACCGGGGTATGGCCCAGACCCTCTAATCCACAACAGGTGTCAACCCCCTGCACTCTGTCTGCACCAACACTTGCACTGCTGCTGGTGCCAATGCTGGAAATGGGGTCCAGACATTCTCAATGCAGTCAGAGGAGAGAGCTGGCCTGGACCATGCCTGTGCAGAGGAGTTCATCGGCTCCTGTCCTGGCTGGGGAACTGTGAGCTGCTTTAGGAAGCCAAGCAGGCCCGTGTGAAGGCCTCTCCATTGTAACTAGGGTGGAAGCGCCTTGCTCCCATAACCTCAGGAGGCTGTGTTTCTCAGGTAATTTCTAGGGACTCTATTGGTTTCTGGGATACAGGAGGGGCAAAAAGAAGGGATTAGGAGGAATAGGATTTAGGTCCCTAAATAATCACCCCAGGGTGGGAATTCTGCCCCAAATGAAACTGTTTCAATGTGCCTGCCAGTAAAATGTCCCTGGACAGACCAGGAGTGACTGTTGGTGCCACAACAATACCACTTCTCTCCCAGGGCTTTCCCAGGGATGTGTCTGTGAATTCTCCCCTGGCAATGTCAGGGGCAGGCCATCAAAGACCTGCAGGAAGGCTTACCCCAGCAAATGGTAGCAAAGCACAGGAGTCGGGCGACATTCCAGCCACATCCCCAAGCCCTTGGACTGGAGCGGAGTCCTACAGTGCTGCCCTGGGGGTCAGAAAAACATGTCCATAAACCCCTCAGTACTTCACAGCAGTCAGGTCCAGACATATTTGACACACTGAGCTGAAACAGACACTGTTGGACACACCTGGCTGACACAGACACTATCTCTGATTAGTTCATATTTACAATGCAGCTAAAATGCAGAATCTCAGGGCTGGTCTATACTTACCGGGTAGTTCGACGGCTGGCAATTGAAGTTCCGGGTTCGATTTATCGCGTCTGGTCTGGACGCGATAAATCGAACCAGGAAGTGCTCGCCGTCGACTGCGGTACTCCAGCTCAACGAGAGGAGTACCGCGGAGTCGACGGGGGAGCCTGCCTGCCGCGTGTGGACCGCGTCTGAACCGCGGTAAGTTCGAAGTAAGGTATGTCGACTTCAGCTACGTTATTCACGTAGCTGAAGTTGCGTACCTTACTTCGACTTGGGGGGTTAGTGTAGACCAGGCCTCAAAGAGCAAGAGTTGCCAGCCTCCACAGGGGAAGAAGGAACAGTTGGAATTTTAGGCAAGTGATTTGATTTAGCAACATCATCTCCACAACAGGTTGTTAATGAACATCCTGGAGAACGTGACTATGAGTGTGAGATGTTGTTGGTCAGTGTCATGAGTTCAGCTCAGAGGACAGAGGCAGTTTTTGTCCATAAATTAGATAAACAGCTGAGCATCTCAGTCAATCAGAGCAATATTCAGGTGTAATAGAGTTATATTAGAATTAGAAGAAATGGGAACCATCCATGGGTCTAAACCTGAAATGCTGCAAGCTGCACCAGCAGGCCCCTCCTCTCCCTGGGCTTCAGAGGGCAGGATCCAGCACCAGCCCGAATGTCTACATAGCTGTGTGTAGGGCCATAGTGTGAGCTCTGTGAACCTGAGTCTGTGGGCCTGGGCTGTGAGACGCACTGCCATGGGTTTAAAACACTGTGCAGATGTACCCTCTGGCATCTTACCAACAGGGGCTGAGCCCAGCCTTGACCAGAGATCTGGGGGAAAGGAGCGGTGTGGTCTGAACCAGTTAAGTTAGGATGGTGGTGTGGCAAAGCTTGTAGTGCTGGCTGCTCCTCTCATCCAGGTCTCAGCTTCCCGGGGGTGGCTGGCTGGCTCCTCAAGCAGCCTCCCAGGCCTGAGAGGCTCCATGCTATCTTTTGGATGGCAGGGAGGCTTTGAATGAGGCCATCTCTGGTAGCCCATCTCCACTTTCCCAACCAATCCTCATGCTGTGGTTGCTGCTATTCCACCGCCTGTGCGCCAGCTCTTTCCACTGACGCCCACAAAGCTCGGCTATACCAGCCACCTGGCTGGAATTGGGGGGCACAGGGAGCCATTGGCTAGCATTCAGCAAAGTCATTAATGTAGGAGCTCTGGAGGTAAGGCAGAAAGGAAGGGAAGGGGAAAGCAGGGGAAGAGGGCCCCCCATGCGGTTTTTAACCTTTAGCTCTGCTTCCCAGGTCGGGATCTCCAGCTGATGTGCAGGGGATATTCATGGGTTTGCTGGGGGAAAGAGAGCCTCCCAGCTCAGGTGACTGAGTGAAATCCCAATTGCACAGCAGTGTGGGTGGGGGCTCTCCTTATCAGCTCAGGGCTGGGCGGTGTGTGTGTGTGTGTTTCTCTTCCTGGCCATTCAGTGCTGGGTGGGGGGGCTCCCCTGGCAGATCAGGGCTGGGCGCAAGTGTGTGGGGCTCTCCTTGTCAGCTCAGGGCTGGGGGGGGGGGGGGGGGGGGCGGCCCCGGGGCGCTGGGGGGGGGGGGGGGGGGGGGGGGCACTCCCTGGCTATTCAGGGCTGGGGCTCTCCCTGGGCAGCTCAGGGCTGGGTGAGGGTGCATGAGGGGGCTCTCCTCAGCTCAGGGCTGGCAGTGGGGGGACTCCCTTGGCAACTCAGGGATGGGGGGGGGCTCTCCCTGGCAGCTCAGAGCTGGGAAATGGGCGGGGGGCTCTTTTTGTCAGCTCAGGGCTGGGCAGAAGGGAGTGGGGGGGTTCTCCCTGGCCATTCGGGTCTGGGCAGTGGGGAGGGCTCTCCCTGGGCAGCTCAGGGCTGGGTGGGGGTGCATGGGGGGCTCTCCTTGGCAGCTCAGGGCTGGGCAGTGGGGAGGGGGATCCCCTGCTCACTCAGGGCTGGGCAACAGGGGGAGGGGGGGAGGACAGGACTCCCCTGACAGCTCAGAGCTGGGCAGAGGGGGGATGGGGACTCCCTTGACAACTCAGGGCTGGGTAGTGGGGCTCTGCTGGTTGGAGCTGGGTGGTCTCATTTCAATTAATATTGGAGAGTTGAGCATAGGAGAAAACTCAGCCCTCCTCACCACCTGGAGTTTCCTTCTGCAGCAGTCTGTGGGGCACTGTCAGGGCATCGTCCCTGTTGCCCATGCAGGGTCCTGCTCTGGGGGCCATTTGGGGTCTCTGTTCCTGGCACTGTCCCCTGTACCCACACTCAGAGGTGTCTGGGGTGGAGGGTAAGGGCTGTCGCTAAGGAGCCAGCTTGTAGCTCTCCCTTGTGAGCAGCAGCTCCTCTGCCTGCCTCACTCCTTCCTAAACACTGCGCAGGTGAATCCAGCCACATCCCCAGGTAGAAGAAGGTGCTAGACCTACCATCTCCAGTGCCGACCTGCCAGCCTTCACTCTCCTCTCGCTCAATCCCTGGACCGAGACGACTTAAACCAGCCCTCTACTTGGCTGTGTCTTGCAGCACTTCCTTTCATGTGTGCAGAACCTCATTGCATCCCTTTCCTGTTCCTCCCCCCACATCGAGTCACAGCTTGAAGAGTCATTGGGCCAGAGAGAGCGTGACTGTGAAGCCTGGGTAGGGACTGACCTGGGAGGTGGGAAATCCAGGGCCCAGTCCCCCTGCTCCAGTGATTTGCTATTGATCCAGCTGAAACGGAGGGATCTTCCCTCAGAATATCCCTTAGCCCAGTGGTTAGGAAACCAGGAGAGGTGGGAGACCCCTGTGCAAATCCTTTCTCCCCCGCAAGCAAATGGGGGAATTGAACCTGGGGCTCCCACAGGCCAGCTGAGTGTCCTAACCAGTAGGCTAGAAGCCATACGGTAGACACCACCACCTCCTTCTCTAGCAGCCAGACTTTGATGGGACCTGCTCCATTAGGTGGCCTCTGAGCAAGCGTACTGGATCAGGCCCTGCATGCAAGTCAGATGGCACCTGTCTTTTCCCAATTCACAGATCACACTGTGGCTTAGGCAGGAGCTAAGTACCCAGGCGCCTAGAGGGAGGCAGCAGGGCACATGCCCCAAGGCACAAACTTAGGTGTGGAGGGGACTTTTCCCTGAAAACGTAGGTGCCAAATGAGTTTAGGTGTCTACATGAGCCAGTGGGAGTTTTGTGGATCTCATTGAAGCCTCAAACTGAGATTTAGGCACCTAAACCCCGGACTAGGTGCCTATGTCTGGGGTTTAGGTGCCTGTGATATTCTTAGGGTACCCAGGACTGTGAGTCACCTCTAGCCAGAGGGAGCCTTGCTGTGGTGGCTGGGGTCAGCTCCCTAACCCCACCAGCCCGTCAGCCATTCAAGCACTCTCCTATGGGTTAGGCCAGCCCTGTCTGCCTCACAGGTGCACCCCAGTCCCCTTGAAGCATTCCCCTGTGATATCCAGCCCCTGATGCTGGCTACTCCCAGAAAACCCAGATCCTCTGCCCCCAAAGGAGCAACATATCCCACTTTACCAGTTTCACCTTAAATCATTGCTCCTGTAAACCATGCAGCACTTGTAGTGAAACAAGAGAAGGTTTATTTAAGAGAGAATACAGATTCCATTAGAAACAAGAGAGCAGTTGAAACCAGTGGTTACAATACAAAACAAAATCATAAAATGCAAACTAGGGCTCAGGGCCGGCTCCAGGCACCAGCGAAGGAAGCAGGTGCCTGGGGCAGCCGATAGAAAGGGACGGCACTCCGTCCGTTATTGGGGCAGCACGTCCGGGTCTTCGGCGGCAATTTGGCAGCGGGTCCTTCACTCCCTCTCTTCCTCTTCGGTGGCACTTCGGCGGCAGCTCAATCGGGTTTTTTTTTCTTCGACGCTTGGGGCGGCAAAAAAGCTGGAGCTGACCCTGCTAGGGCCACACTTATCAATAGTTCCCTTTCCTAGCTGGAAAAGTAGCCCCCCCACACCCCGAGTTCAGTCTGTTGCAGAATTGGCTAGTGTCACAGGAACCAGGATCCAAACTTTCATGAAACACCCCCATTCAGCAAGATGTCTCCTCAATGAATGGATTCAGGGTGCCTCTCCCCTTCAGTGTTACACTGAAAAAGTCTTTTGTCTCTGTTCCCAGGCAGGGTGATCACCGTCTGTTGTAATGTTCCCTTTTTACTGCCAAGTGGTTTTGATTGTTTGCAGTTGTCTCTGAGGGTTTGCCATTGAAAGTCTTGGGATGGAGCAAGACTAGACAACTGAGCCTGGCATTACATCACCGGCTAACCAGGGAGAGGTGACAGCCATCACTAAGACACATTACCCCCCTGGGGACTAACTTTTACTCCGAGGCCAAGCAAACTGTCAATATAGTTACATTATTCCTTAAATGTTACCTTACCCACATCTCACAATGATTATGAGCCTTGACAAGTTACGAGCTTTCTGTAGATACCTTCCATGTTACCCCTTATGGATAAATACCCTGCAATACATGATTGGTGTAGTGAGTTTGTTAGGTCTGAGATGAAAGTTGTTTGCAAAGAACAGGGGCCCCTTTGCCAAGGGGCCTGAGTGTCACAGCATCTAAGTACCTTTGTGAGTCCCATCCATTGTCCCTAGTCCCAAGGACTCTATGCAGTGGCATGTGGGGGACAGGGGGGGGGGGGGAAGGACAGCGCCTGTACAGCCATCTAGAGTCTGCAGATCCCGGCACAAGTGGAGAAGAGGGGCTGCACTCCTGATTCGCCCTCTCTGCGTGCAATGGAGCAGGGAGTGGGAAGATCCATAGCTAGGACTCCCAAGTGCCAGCCAGTGGGACAGGCTGGGTGGAAGCTCAGCCCTTATCTTCAAGGTGCTCCATGGCCTGGGCCCAGGGATGAGACTGTGGGTGACAGCTCCGCTCGTCTGGCCCAGTGGACTCTCTATCACCAGGGTAAAGCTCAGCTGTGCAGGAGACAGAACTTACTCGGCGGCTGGCCCCAGACAGTGGAATGAGCTCCCCCACAAACTCAGATCCATCCGAAACCTACCAAATCCTGCTGCAAGGACCAGGAGCCTGGGTCAGACCTACCTTCTCTACTGGAAACACAGAGCAGTGTATGTAAATATCTATATATAAAATCTTACCAAAACAAGACACGCCACTGCACATGATTTTGCCCCATGGAGAGAATGAGAGAACAAACACCACATGACAGATGTCAGTCCCAGTCCTTATTTCCCAACTGGACGCTGCATGGATGCTTCAGAGATGAGTGCAGTATAAGAACCTGCCTAGACTAGACTAGACTAAGTGACACCTTGAGATGGGGTGAAGTAGCCTCTTGGCCCCAGAAATAGAGTCTCTCAAATCTCTTCAGATTGCAAGCTGCTCCTTTCAGTCCCTCATGGGCCCACCCATCCCAGCCAGGTCACAGTGATCCAGCCCTGTTCTCTTGGAACCCTGCCAGATGAAGGACTGTGCCCGGCTCACCCAAGTGACTTAGCACCTTAGTCACTGATGTCCATGGGGACTCAGGGCAGACCCAGGCTCCCAGTCACTTTTGGCATTGGGACCCAGGTTCCCAGTGTCTCATTCACTTTTGGCATTGGGACCCAGCCTCCTCAGTCTTGTTGACGGGCTAAAAAACATCATCCCAGAAGGTGGGAGTGAGAGAAAGCACCAAGCCAAAGCACAGTGGGACTAGACTAGAAATGCTCAAGCAGACCCACAACAGCTGTCCCTGGCGCACTGGCTGCGATACGTTAAATTGAAAGGACAAAATGAAATATGTCTGAGCTGGTCTAGTGGACAGAGCATAGGACTGGACCAGGAGACCTGGGCTAGGCTGCAGGGGAATCTTGGGCAAGTTCCTGTTAGTATATAGGCTTATTTGTCAGCCTGAGATACAAGCTTGGGTTTGACTTTTTGATACTCTTATATCTTATACTAATATGTGCGAAGAACAATGAACAAAGACACTGTGTGTTGCATTTCCCACAACCAGATGGGGCTTTTAGTACAATGAGAAAAGATAAGAGATGGAGCTAAAGTGTTATGGGGCATGGTGGGAGTATAATATATGAGCATACACTGAAAGGCTGGCTGGCTCCTTTCTCAAGCCAAGGTCATGCAACCAGTTAGGAGGGGCAAGGGGGATGGGGGTGGGAAGCATAAGAAACACTAAAAGGCCAAAGAAATGCCTAGCCTTGGCCAGAGCACAACCTCACTCCTCACCCCTCCCATGGGATACAAAAGAGGTGGGACGAAGACCCTAGACTCACAATCCTCCAAAACGGAACATGGCCATAAGTTGTAAGGGGTGGGACCGGGGGTGTGCATTATAGGTATATTTGGGCCTGCTAAGGAGGAGGAGGTGGGAAATGGTAATGGGGAACGGGGACACAGGCATGGCTCTGTGGCATCAGAGCTGGGAAGGGGGACATGGGGTAAACGCTCTGTGGCATCAGAGCTGGGAATGGATATGTTTGCTTCGAACTAACCCCGATAAACTTCACATTGCCTGCACTTCAGACTTCTGGTCTTCTGCTTTCTGACTGCGTGACAAGAACCTGGGAAGAGGGTGAAGGGAAAGCGCTCTAATAGTCCCTTCCTCTCCCTGTGCTCCAGTTGCTGAATCTGTAAAATGGGAATAAGGATACTGAGCTCCTTTGCAGAGCACCTGGAGATCTTCTGATGGAAAACACTGTATAAGAACTAGGTGTTATTACTCTAGGAGACTGGAGCCTAATTAGATGCTGACTTAATTGAGCACTCTCCCAGAATGGAATGCATTGTCTGATACTGTGCTAATTACAGGGTGTTCATTTTTAGGCTGGGTTGAATAACTATTGTCTTGTACGTGTGAGGAATGGGATATGGGGGTGTCCTTTTCTCCCCCTTCCCACAGCCATTAGAATGCAGGGTTCCTGGTAGGACAGTGAATACATTTCCCCAAGTTTTCCAATTTCCTCTCTTTTCTCTCATTAAACCTTCAGAACTAGGTCCCATTGTCTGTGTCTCATCTAGGATTGCTCTGTACTCTGTTGAAGTCTTTTGTTCTGTCCTGCTTCCAGGTAAAATAGTCCTGGAGGGATTTTTTTGCCAGGAATTACTCTACCCACTTCCAACCAAAAGCAAAATAAGAACACCCTTAGCTACACACATTTCTGATTCCAAAGAATTGCCCTTGGCTCCAGAAGAATGAATACCAGACAAAAGGAGGAACCTGCAGTGCAGTCCAGTAAAAACTATGAGGCACTTGGCCAATGTAAATCAAACCTAGAATTGTGTGCCAGACTCTAACCATCTTCCCTTTGCAAAATGTTTTGGGTAGAATTGTACATTTTAATGGAGTAAATATATACCAACGGGGCTGGCCTGAGAGGCTTTGTTAATTCTCAGTAATTTGGTGGCATCAAATGCAAATGGAGTGCGGGATTAAAAGAAGGAAAGAAATGCAAGTATTGCTTGGCAGGCTGCAAAGTCAACTTGGCAGTTGTTCAGGGAGTTTTCTGTGTGCAGAAAGAATAGCAAATATGGCA